CTTTTAATAAAATATTGACAAATCACCAACGTCACGCCTCTGGCGAGTTGCCTTATATCATAAAATCTTATATTTTCATGTAAACATTAATAAAAGGACACAATTCACCCCATAACACTACGAAGACATCGTATGTCGCCATGGGTGCCCAACATACATTTTATCTGATAGAGGCTCACATTTCAGGAATAGGCTTATCGATAATTTGTTAGCCTCTCTTCAAATTCAGCATCAGTATTCAAGCCCATACCACCCTCAAACGAATGGACTTGTAGAAAGATTTAACAAGTCATTGTGTACTTCCATTTCGAAGCTAGTAGAGAACGTAACCGATTGGGACCTATTAATTCAACCGGTATTATTCGCATTTAGAACTGCAAAACAAGCCTCTACGAAAGAAACCCCATTTTATTTAGTATATGGGCGAAAGGCCAAGTTACCTATACACCCCAGCGAATCACCGGATTTGCTGAATGAAACGATCGTCCAGAGGATATATGAAATTGTCCACGATCTACATGACGCCCGTGAACAAGCACGGCAAGTCACGCAGGAAAAACAACAGGATCGGCGTGATAACCAGACCAAAGCCACACCCGATTTCTCTATAGGGGATAAGGTCCTAGTCCTAAATTCTAGGATACTGGGAACACGCAGCCACAAATTTGTACCCAAATGGAAAGGGCCATACTACGTACACGCTAACCTCACGAAAGGAGCGTATAAGTTGCGCGAAATTAATGGGAGAGTCTTAGCGACACCCATTAATAAACAATTGCTCAAACCGTATTACGAGCGAGATTTATAAAAAGGGGTAGAAAAAGACCTAAGGCAAAAATGACAAAAAATTAATTAATAATAATAATAATAACATAAACATGCCAAGAACCGCCGCTATCCAAATCCATATCGACCTCAACACCATCAATATTCTACCCGTCGCAGAACCTACCCCTTGCCCCTACTACGATGGACAGTAATTTGCCGACAAAGCTGACGCAGCCTATCAAGCTATCCTCCTCGCCCTGGATGAGGATGAAAGAGTAGAAAGTCTCGTTCATGCTTTCTACTTGGGTGCACTGCTCCATCAAGCACGTCGAAAGCAACTCACCGAACTACGACAAAGAATTCCTCGTCATTATATAGACGCTGCAATTCGTCTATATCGTCTATACGCACCCTTAGGTGTGGAGCATTTTTATTGCACCACTTGGACAACATTAAGTAAAGTCTGAAAGTTGTCCGTCGATGATTATGAGTGGCTGCTCCAATGAATTCTCGTGGAACTCGAACTTAAGTTGGGGAGTGTGTAACGGGGAAGTCGAGTAACCGCGATCCAATAATTTCTTTTATTTTTTTTTTTTTGTTATATTTTATTATTTTTTTTGTATATGTTATTATTTGTTGAAATACGAAGTTGAAACATTCTGTGTTGCTAGAAAAAGAAATTCATACA